ATGCTGACATTGATATGACAGCTCGTATTAAGGAGATCCAGCCTACAGCGTCTTCTCTGGTCACAACACTTGCATGTCTCAGTCCTCATACCAACTGTAGCCTCACAGCAAAGTAGTACTCTGCTTCTTCCTCTTCCTCACTGCAGATTCACACCAGCTTGCTTCTTGTTATTCAATAAATCGTTTTACATCATTAACATTTTCATCTAGGTGTCGAAAAAATGTGGGTGTATAAGTAATAGAACTGCAACAATTAATTGATTAGTTATTAAACTAATTTGATAATCGATTGGTTTTGAGTATTTTCTTTAAGAAAAAAAGTTAAAGTTCTCTCATTTCGGCTATTTAAATATGAATATTTTCTGATTTTTTTTTTTTTTTATACTCCCTTATGACAGTAAACTGAGCAAAACAAGACATTTGAGGATGTCCTCTTGAGCTTTGGGAAACACTTATCGACATTTTCTACCTGACATTTTATATACCAAACAACTAATCAATAAATTGAGAAAATAATTGACAGTGAAAATAATCTTTAGTTGTAGCCCTAATAAAGTAAGTTTAAGCAAGAAAAAGCTTAAAACAACTCCTATTTGGAAGAAAAGAAGAGACACATAGTGTAATCAACAAGTACTGCATGTCCCTGAACATACAGTAGTGACACATACATAAGGCAGGACAGCAAGCCACTAATAGACAATAGAAAATTATTGCCTATGTGTTAGTTGTGTTTAAAATGCAAATACAAAATGCAGCCATAACCTGTATTTTATACAATGGTATGTTTTTCTTTTGACAAAAAATGTCATTTCAAGTGAAAGTACAAAGAGTAATCCTTTACTTACTTTTAATCCTTTTAAAGTAGTGCAACAGAATTATGAATATAAATGTGTCAACCTGATCAGACAGGTCTTCACCTATGTGGTGTGAGGTAAAATGAAGATGATAGGTGATTTCAGTAGGCAGCCTGCCTTTGACCTTTAGCTCCTGTTTACCATTCAGCTGGAGCGATCCAAGTGTACACAGTATACACGGTGACATTGTGCTGGAGGTGAATATGGTATGGAGATGCTCTTTCTGTTAAGGGTGTTCAATATAAATAGTTGTCATCTGAAATGTGATAATATCTGTTTTCCACATGCTGTGATCTTGCTCTTATCTTTATATTTATCTATATATTTTCCCTTTTTCACCATGTCAATTTCATACATTTCCTCTATTATATTAACCAGTAATAGAATGTGCCACCATGACCATTACTTTCTAAAACGATAATCAGAACTTGTTGCTGTTTAATTATTATCATTTATTTCCAAATACATAGCTGCCTCACAAGACTAATGTTGGCTGTCCACAAGAGAGGGGACTGCAAAATAAAAAATAAAAAAATGTAATCGAAATACAGTGATGGCATTTCAGTATGCACTATACTCGTGTTTTTCATGCTAATCTGCTAGTCTGTGATGCGTTATACTCCAGGATACCAAAGAGCCAAGAGATGCAGAAGGTCTAACAACAGTCTGGCTTTTGCTGGATTGAGTGCTTTAGTTGTCACAGTATCTCCATGGAAACCATTTTTTGCATATAGTGCATGACTTCTCAATTTCCAATGTAGTCTTTATGACCGGAAAGTAAGGCATGCTGCACTAAAGATAATGACTACTAATGTTGTCAGTACTTCTTCAGATTCTTCTTCCTCCGTGCCTAGAAGCTGAGAGCTGAACCCAGACAAAGCTTTACCCACTGTTGATAAATATAAATACTAGCTTTCTGCCTGCTAAGCTGGTTTAGTGATGGTCCATTGATGGTGCTCGCTGATTGTTTGTTTCCAGGCAGTGAACCAGCTCTAATACGCCCCACTAACTACCTACCCCTCCAAATCCCAAGCCCCCCCAGTCTCTTGGACAAGAGGGTTATCAGTGATCGAAGCTACAAAAGCAACTACATTTACATTTACCCTTTCTGAAATTCCTTGATTACCAACCTTGAAAAACAATTTGTGAACCAGTAAGCCAGTCAAAGCGGAAGCACCTCATTCATATAAAGAACAAAAAATTTGAAAGACAATCAAATTACTGTCACAATCTAGTGAGGGCCGGTTGCAGAGTAAACTCAGTAATCTGAAGTGCTTTTAAAGATAGTGGAGATAAACGAATAGTAGTTAGTGCACAGACTTCTAACAATAGGTAAAGGCCCCTTTGCCATCACATGCCATTCCATAGTATTATTTTCACAGTGAAAAAATAAAGTGGCCACTGAAGCACATATTAGAAATAGAAATTAGCTATCGATAAATTTATGGCAAGCATGATGGTACATTATCATCATTATCCATTATTAATCAAGAAATGCCATAACTACATCTAATTAATCATAATCCATTAGGCCTCAGCTGAGTAGACAATACTTGTACTTGTACCCTCGGGTACAGGACTTACATAAACAAGACCTTATAATGTCATGTCATCTGACCAGGTCTTACAACACTGGCTGGTCAACATTCAAGATAAAGGTTGACAAGTGTAAGGTCCTTTCTGTAGATGCTGGGACAGCATCTGAACACTCATTTGTAGAGACAAGCCCTTAATTGACGTGTTTGTGTGAAGTTTCTTTTTAAATTTTTATTTGATTAATTGGCCACTAGGGGATGCTTGCTCTAGAAATGTGCTTCATAAACTTTATTTCCTCAATGACTTTACTCAACTTGTCCTGGTAAAAATGGCCTTGAACAAAATGGTAAACCCCCTACCTCCTTACTTACTGTACCTTGAGTGGCTAATGATCAGCCTTTCAGCTAAACGCCTATAATGTGTAGATGTAAGCTCCCTGCTTATTCTAACACATTGCTGGTGAGACTGAAATCAGCAGGAGCCCAGGTTGGAGGAGGGTGGGATGCTGCGAAGCAGTGAAAGGTGAATCAGCCTCCACCTTTGTTTCCAAGTAGCCCCGCTGGCTTTGTTTTGGAGCAGAATGAATTATTAACGGTGGCCTTCTGGTCGTGTTTTTCATCGGTGTCCACCAAAGGTAAAGAGCACTGTGCTGAGAGATCTCCATTGACTGTCTCCTTCCACAGAACTGTCTACATGAACTTTTTTTAGTCTTCACTTTGTCTGTTTATTTTTTTCCCCTCTCTTTCTGACCCCTCTCTCTGTTTTTCCATCACACGGTTTCTCTTGAATGACCAAATTAACCGGTGCTGAAGAATATCCTGTCTCCATGACAATTGAAGAGCCGTCCTTCTGCATGGCAAACTTACTTGTGCACACTGAAACACACTGTATTAAACCTTAAAGGGTTATTCCACTTCACTTAAGTGGAATATTGTTTAACGTTGACCTCCTTAAACATTTGTTACAAGACAACAAACCACAAGTGTATTTGCTTCCATTGGTGTCTAAAATTACATAATTTCTTGCTGCTTTTATCTTGATGAATGAATGAATTCCAACACAATTTAATTTGATTTTTGAAGTTGGAGATTTGATTTTGAAAACCGTGACCTGAATAAGCAATGACTTGCCGATATAGTAATATTAATTATTTGATATGAGGCAATATGTATTCTTTCACAAATTGACACAGAAAGAAAATTATGATTTAAGCATTATTATAAAAGGGAAGAAAAAAAGTAATGCTTCTATTTTCTCAAAATGTAATGATACAAATATTTATTAATGTTTATTATTGTTGAAAAACTGGAAAAAATATAAACCAAAAAAAAGTATGCTGTATTCTGACTATTAATGAAATTAACATGTTTCTCTTATAGCTATGTTAGCTAAACTTAAGATACAGATTGAAACGAACATTGTTTGTGAAATAATCATTACACCAAAATGTAACCAGACAAAAGTTAAATTCCAGTGGTAAATGTCAACGAGGCTGTAAGGCATTTTCATTGGCTTCAATGCTCTGTCATAAACAGGTGGTGTATCAGAGAATTGGTTTGGCTGCATGCCACCTTTTCCTGTACAATATTCTTTCATCGTATTATATCTTCCTCAAGGACACTAGGCCATTGTCTGTAAACAGCTCTTTCTTTGCTGTTGTTCAGATAACACATTTGATTTTGCGCTGCTGGTTTGATATGATTTTCTGTGTAGATTAGACCAAGCACTACTCTAGAATTTAGGTTTGTCAAATTAGACCTATTTTACAAAGGTAAATAGTATCGTGTTTTTGTCCATCTGCTGCTATACTTTGTCGGCTGACACCATGTCTCCATTTCCATTAAAGACCGCAGTACAACTTTAAATGTTTAACCAATAGTGCTACCTCATGGTCAGCTCAGCCACCAAATTTTCTTCTGCTTGTTGTTTGAGTATGCATGGTGTAAAACTCTACCTCCTGTATGATTTGTTTATTTCTGGTCATGTTTGCTCCTGTCCAATATTTTGCATTTTTCCAAATAATCAAAGCACTCTACTCTACCTGGAAGAGGCCTGGTGCAGTGTTCTCCAAATTAGCCATTTTCCATCCAACTGCAGCCAGCAACTCCTAAATGTCTCCAATAGACTCCAATAACAGTTAAAAGAAATAATAATAAAAAAAAATACATTAACAAAGTTAACAAGTAGTACTGGGCAACAATTAAATTTATTAATCGCAAAATTGAATAATGAATTCTAAAGTAGTGTATTGCGCACTTTTAATTTTAATGTACTGCTTTATACACAAAAGTACAATAACATGTTGTTTGAAAACACTTAAATAAGGTGCATTTACCAGCAGTATTCCCTTTACACAGAAGCAGTAAAATATTTCTTATAAATCTCAACTTAAATATTAATGTAATCAAATCTAATATAAAACCAAAGCTATTTGCCACTGCCAGGGCGTTACCTTTTATCTAGCTTGCTAAAACAAGTTACCATCAGAGTCCAGAGCCACAATCATAACATCATAACAGGCACCTTCTTAGCAACAGGTTAACCTATATAAATGTGTTTTCTTGTTTTTTTTTCTGAACACAAGCAGCATAAACAGTCTATGTTCAGTAGCAAGTGTCCTTGTTAGAGTGAGGTGACGTGCTCTCCTCACGCACACACCCGCCTGCAGCCGAAGTTGAATTATCTTGAACTTTTTGTACGCGATGCGGAGCACAAATCATTGGAAGAGAGACTGATCCTCGCTGTTTGTTTCCAGAATCTATTACTGTTTACAAAATAGGACATCAACAATAGGGAATTCACATAGCAGAGCTGCAAAACTAGATGAAGGCCTATCAGGTAAAGTTATGGATAATTTTAACATATGTTAAATAGGCTACAGCTGTTTAGCGCACAGAAGTCATTGCCGTGGTTACTATCCATAGAGCATCTGCCGTTTACTCACGTTGTGCTTCTGTCCTGTTCACTGGCCAAGCGACTATGTTGTGATTTTAAGAACGTTCCTAAGGCCGACATCTTCCCCAGTACTAATCAGCATGCAGTGTGTAGCTTTCCACTTCGCTATGGCATGTGATTGCTTGTCTTGCTTTTGTTTATCTACCTCTCCAACACAGTGCATCCAGCGTAGTGTACCGAAGCCTCCCTCCACTGCTTGTTTGGGTGGGTGATTTGCAGGCTGATCTACATCCCACCCCTCCTGTGACTCATGGTTTGACTGTATGTGTATTCAGAGCCAGTGAGCAATGGACTTTCAAAATAATAATTATAAAAACTGCGATAATAACGCGTTAACGTACCCAGCCCTATTAAAAAGTCTACTTTCCTGCCGCCATTCTGCTTAGCCAATTTACTGTCACTTGATCCTCTTTATCATCTGCTTGCCAGAGGATGCTCTCAACTGGTCGCAATGCTGGGCAACTGTAATTAAGGGGGAGACAAAACTGTGCTAAGCTGTAGGTTAAATAAAGAACCAATAAAGTATCCGGAAGAACCTGGAGCCTAACTGGATAAGGGAGTATACTAATTTTAATAGGGTTTATCATCCAAGATGTTCCATGGGATTGTGGAGGTCATCCTGTATATTTGAACAACATATACTATATAATATATGTTTAGGAAAGTGGAAAGTTGAGGCTGATGACCACTAATACTAATTACCACTAAGTCTTTTTCTTTTCCCCCAAAGTAGAGACCATATAATGAGTGTTTCATATATTATGCAATTATTTGCTGTAATATTTTATCTTATGTTATTTATTTCATTGCTGTTGTTTTTATTAATGAATGAAATAGACCTAGTTTTTTTTAAACATACTGTGGCTAGGTAGGGGAGGCGAAGGTTGGGGGGTCGGGGGCAATTTGTATAAGTAATACGTAAATAGGAAATGGATCTAAATTTACCTCTGAGAGAAAGCCAGTGTGAGAGACAGAATAATGTGGCAGTGAGCCTCAGGTGCAGCTGGGATGGGAGGAGGCGGGGCAGTGAGCGAGAAGCTGCGGGAGAGAGCGCAAGTAAGAGGGAGGGGTGTGTGTGTGTGTGTGTGTGTGTGGAAAAAGAGAGAGATTGAGTGTGCAAGCTAGAGAGACTATGTGGAGAGGGAGGGAGGGAAGTGTAAGCCAGTCACAGCATCTCTCCTTCTCACTGCACCAGGGCTGAGGGACTCTTCGTCCCCTCGCTTCCCTCACTGCAGATTTAACTCATTTCCATCAGCGCAATCATCTTTTTTTCTTGCTTTTTACTTGCTGCTTTTGACAGATGCATTGCATTCATCTCTATCTTTATGCCAGGATCTAAGGATTTTATCATTAAAAACGTGGGTTGTCCTGTTAAATGGAATAAAAAGGGGGGACGTTTGCAGAGGACAGTGCTTAAAACTGGGACTCCGACGGGGACCTGGTATTTTCTTTATGCTGCTAGAGTGGATTCTCCTTTTGTTGCACTGCCAGTGTTTTGTTCAGGGTGACAGACATGCTGAGAAAGGAGTTGTAGGACCTCATACCTCTACAACTAAACAGAACGCATACTTCAGGGACTAAAGCAAGTTAGAAAATCTATGGTTGCATTAAGCACTTAAAGAGAATGTGCTAAGCCTCCCCTGCCAATGCTTCAGAATGTCACAAAAAAAAGGAAGGTAACAAGTTTATGGGATAAATATATGGATTGCCGATTGATACCCACACCCCTCTCTGCAAGTGTCTGCCACAGGATTGCTGAGGAGTCAAAGTGAGTGGAGCGCTGATTTATTCAGCTGGCCTCTCGTTGCTCCAGGAGAGTCCTTCCACCTGCCTGCATGGGAGTCTGACATTCAACACTTTCATCAGCTACTGGACTTTTACATTTGTTTGTCTTTCGTGACTTGCAGTCCAGAACACTGAGAGGCAAGTTTGCACATTTGGATTTAAAGTTTAAATCACATTAATGGCAGAACATCCAGACATTTTGACGCACTTGGTTTTTTACCTCCATTCTGCCTAGGGATGCCTTGTAAACACATTCCCCCCCCAGCGCCATGTGTGCTGAGAGAGCTGTGACATTATCTCCTGCGGAGATCCCTGTGTTGTTCTAGCCTGTGTCTGTGTTTTGATTCAGACAATAGCTGGGCATACATGGGCTCCAGACACTGACCAGAGGACCACCAAAATAAGGGAAGCCTGCTTTTACATAGTAAACACACTAGCACCCACTAGCGCAGTGAAACTTTGGATTGAATTGAAGCGTTGATTCGCAGAGATGGATGTAATTATTTTTCTCCAAACTTCAGTATACACCAAGACAGACTCTTGAAAACCCCCTTTTCTCCCCTAATCAGTGGTTACCTAAAATGTATCTTTTGAAAGCTAACTGCACCCAGTAAAAATTATCTGATCTCTAGGTGTGAAAAAGGATCTGCTGATTTAACTCATCTCCTTTGAGGATCTGTCAAGAGAGAAGAGCATTGTGTTTGGCTTCATGCCTTACCCCCTTCATATGATATCCGTCTTCACATCTTCTGTGCTCTCTGCCCTTGTGAGGACAGCTTATGCCCTCAGCTTCCCAGTGGCAACCCTCATTAAAATAAGATGATGGGGCCACAGACTGGCAGCCAAAGCAGCAGGGAAATTCACCTTTGGGATATATGTTGGCCACAACACTAATGTGACCCTGCTTTAGGTCTACTGAAGGAATATAGCTTTTTTTCCCTTTCTCTATTCCTGACTGTTACCCACCCACTACTTTCACTAACCATGAGTGATTGGAAAAGGCGAGCTAAACGGGTTGTCCTACCCTGCCAGAGGCTGTATTGATTTTCCTCCAGTCAGTGTTCATTTGATTGAGACCCAGCTATGTGAGAGTAAGGTGAAAGAAAGAGTGAGTGTGCTAGAGAGAGTATTGAGCTCCATTAAACTGAGGAAGGTTGCAGACACCCAGTGTAGAGCGGGCAGGGGGTGGGGGGGTAGGGGGCAGGCAGTTCTCCAGTTTCAGGCCAGCTGCCATATGGGTGGCACACCACAAACCTGACCCACCTGGATAGCACCCAGAACAATGAACCAGTCTGAACTGACAACGGACCCGGTGCTCAATGCCAACAGCAGCCATGGAGACTTCTTTCCTGACAGGGCGTCCAATCACTCTTGTCCCTTGGGATGGGGGCTAAACGAAGGCCTGGAGGCTTGCGTCCTGGAGACTGCTGTCATTGTACTACTTACAGTGCTCATCATTGCAGGCAACCTGACGGTGATCTTTGTGTTCCACTGTGCCCCTTTGCTACACCACTACACCACCAGCTACTTCATCCAGACCATGGCCTATGCTGACCTGCTGGTGGGCCTTAGTTGCCTGGTGCCCACCCTGTCTCTTCTCCACTACCCAGCAGGTGTCCAGGAGCCTGTCACATGTCAGGTCTTCAGCTATGTCATCTCTGTACTGAAGAGTGTTTCAATGGCTTGCTTGGCTTGTATAAGTGTGGATCGATACCTGGCCATAACTAAACCACTATCTTACAACCAGCTGGTGACGCCATGCCGGCTACGAGGCTGCATCACCCTAATTTGGGTCTACTCTAGCCTGGTTTTCTTGCCCTCCTTCTTTGGGTGGGGTAAGCCAGGCTATCATGGGGACATTTTTGAGTGGTGCGCTCACTCTTGGCCCACCTCTGCCCTCTTCACAGGCTTTGTGGTGTGTTTGCTCTATGCACCTGCTGCACTTGTGGTTTGTTTTACCTATTACCATATATTTCGCATTTGCCAGCAACACAACAGGGAGATCAGTGAACGACGAGCACGTTTCCCCAGCCAGGAGATGGAGGCTGGTGAGGGGGGGGGTGGTGGTGGGCATCATGGTGGGCATGGACCAGATCGGCGCTACGCGATGGTGCTCTTCCGCATCACAAGTGTTTTCTATATGCTTTGGCTGCCCTACATAATCTACTTTCTGCTAGAGAGCTCCCATGTACTGGATAGCCCTGCCCTCTCGTTCATCACCACCTGGCTTGCCATTAGCAACAGCTTTTGCAACTGTGTCATCTACAGCCTGTCAAATAGTGTGTTCCGCCTGGGTATGCGTAGGCTCTCGCAGACAATTTGCTCCTTCAGCCACTGCGCGGCTGATGACAGGGACTTTGGGGAGCCTAAACCAAGGAAGAGGGCAAACTCATGCTCCATCTGAACGGTTGACTTTTACAGGATGAGGATAGTCCTCGAATCTATGAATGGGAAATATGAATTTTAACAAGCTAAACAGCTAGTTAAATTTCAGTTAAATTGGCAGGGTTTAACCAAACAGAAAACAATTTCTGTTGCATCAGCCTGTCAGCTGACTCCATTGACATAACCTTGGTCACAGTAAACCATGGTTTATTGCATTACAAGCTTTTCAAGGAGTTGGGTGCAGTGTCTAAACAGAGAAATTTAATTGCATGAGGGCCATGCCTTTATTCCATGGTATGTGACTTAGCTTTAGATCACATAGAAAGTAGTCTCGCCATGGCTTTCTTATCTTACTGTATGTCATCAGCCAGGTGAGACATAGTATAAAGACAAAACTGTAAAAGCTTAAACAAGAAATATTTCCTTAGACATGAAATGTGACTACACTTTTTCATGCCTGTTTGTTGTTGTGAATTGGATCAACCTTCTATTCGACTTCTCTGTACTCTCTGACTGCCGTTAGCAGAGATAAGAGAACCTACAATTACATGTGCTCACAAACCTGTTTAAAGTTTGAAAATGAATATTAGATTTTTTTAACTGTATAAACACACGCAGTGACAATGACGTCAGCCGTTATGCTGCTGACAAATACCATGACGTATGGCCTTGACTGTTTTCTAGAGAAACATGATGTGGGCAGGTGAACAGGAGAGAAAAAATATCATGATGTACCGGTCAGGTGTTCTGCCCCATTGGCCAATCACTCTAATGTTTAAAAACAATCAGCAATCTGAAGTATTAGCAGATTATGGTTACCAATTGATTGGTGCACCCCTTCTAAATAGCACCTTATTTCCAGAATTTAGACGAAGGATGTGTCAGATTGATGCTGAGGCCTCTATATTGAGGGCAGTGAACTGATGCTCTCGACAGATAACTACCCAGGGTTTTTTTCCCCCAAGGTCCCCCCTTGCACTTATGAAATAGCCCATCAGTGCCAGGATTCCCACCATTGGCATGGCATTCCTGATATGGCTGTGTTATGAGTATTCTTTGATGCATGAGCGCTCATGACAGCTATTTCTAACCAGCAAATAAATCATCCTTTTTCCCTGTATATGGAGGGCCACATATAATGGATAGTGAATAAAGAACAGAATTGCCAAAATAAAACACCATTATCTAATTATTAATTTTATATTATTATAAAATACAAAAGGAAGTTCAATTTGTGTCATTTTACATAAGAAACCAAATTCTGTAAGTGACTTATGTGTCACTTAAAGGTAAGAAAAGGGATAGCAGTGGTAGTGTAGACCAGATTTAGCCTTGTTTTGGGTCCTTTGCCTAAGTGACAAGTTATCTTTGTTGAATCTTACAGTGGATTTTATTTCCTAGCAGCAGTGGACAGGGACTCAGGTCAATGTGATCTGATCTGTCTGCAGGTTGCTTTGAGGTTAAAACTGAACTGATCTGAAATTACATGCTTTCTTCTGATAAAGGTTTAAGGCTATCCAGTAGCATATCTCATGGTGGTCAATTTTCATTACTTTTAATTAGTCCTACTCTCTCTCAGCTATACTAGTTCTGTTACTGATAAACATTAAGCGTTACTGCCCTCAAACTACAGGCCTGAATGTCCTACAAACTCAATGATTTTGTGAACATTGTGAACACCGTACTGAGTGGGCACTTACAGGGTCAAACCAAGTTTTTTATTTTTTTTATTTGGGGGGGATATTAACTTGGTAACTGGGCTTGTTTACCAGATGACCGATGCTGAGAAGAGCAAAGTATATGTATTAGAAATGAATTTCTTAATGGATTGTTTGTAGGCTTCTGGGTAGTTAACTCCATTCTGCTAAAGGTTATAGTTTTTGTCTTTTGTTCTTCTGTGCACATTCCGGCTTGGTAAAACCTGAAGACTGGTCTCCAGTGTAGGCCTTTTGATGTACAAAGTGCAGATGATGTGTGTTGTTTAGCAACCCACAGACTGCCTTTGGTTATGATTCTCATCCTTTGCAATACTCCACAGTATAGTCATTCCTGTCAATTCAGCTTGTACATTTCCTTGATCAATGGATCAGTGTCAAATTCGTTTTACATGAATACAGCCACGTACTATAGCCAATGACTTATACTGATTCCCCTCTTTGCTCATGTAGTAGTGTCATCTGTGGTTTAGGCCTTGCTTGTGGTGTATGTTTGTCCCTGCTAGAAACCAAGTGACACAGCAAACCCAGCCCCTTGATGTTGTAACCGCATTCTATGCTGCTTAACAGTACCCCGTGTAAGTCATTCCTCATTTTAAAGCTGCATGAAGTGATTTTTGACTACTAGAGGGAGAAAGACTAATATAATAAGCCTTTAAGTCATTATATTTTAGTGTCATGTTAGCAAGCAATTTGCTACACATCCATTAGAAATAGAGCTACATGAGCAATTTATTCAGGGGTCTTTCGGGCCACCAGATGAATGTAAGTATACTATTATTTTTAAGCCAAGATTTGGTAAACCTGGTCTTTTTTGGGTTATCTACATGCTCTGCTCACTCATTTACTTTGGCTCTCTGCAGTTTCAGATGAGGCAGGTAGCCTATATTCAACCTGAAATAATCATCTGCTGGGAGTGACTGCACATGGTTGACATTGTATGTGCCGGCTCTGGTTTGGTTTTGTTGGTTCCATCAACTAAGATAACCATCAGTGAGGTTAAATCAGCTGTGTAAAGCTAGAGTATGGGGTATTCTTCATCATCAGCATTCGCCACCCTAATCATTATCATAATATAATCAGGAGTTGTTTGATTCAGTATAAAAAAAATATTGCTTTATGCAGCTTTAATGCATTACAGATTGTTCTGTATACGTGCCTAAAGATGTATTTTGTATGACAAGTGGAAAAAAGATTGGTTGAGAAGTAATTATTGTGACATGGACATATTGTACTTTTAAAAACATTCTCCAGCTACATGAACATGTCTTTGGATTTAGTTTTCCATGACTTTGTGATAGGTTCAGAAGGGTGTCCACTTGAAACAAGTAATTCATTTATCACAGTCAGTCTGACCTTTGCCTTCAGGTAGATACATGTTCTATTATCTGACGTCTACATCATATCCGTAAGATAAAAGGAGACAGCAGGTTTATCTTGTGAATTCCCTTCTATAGCCAACTGACCTGACATATATGAGGCATAATAGTAGGGAACCACAGCATAGTTGTGTCAAATACTAGACTACCGATAATATTTTTTTAATTTTGATAGCTTGTGTTTTTGGTGCTTCTTTGGAGCATAGTACTGTGGGTTAGTAGAAGAAATTTAGAGGCTCTGAATTAGTGCTGTATTATCTTCACAATGTGGTGACAAACAACAACATCATAAAGCAAAATTCTGTAACAGCCTAAAAAAATAGTACAGTTGTTACCATATAGTTGCAATATTCAGTTCAAATGGAGATTACAGTATTTGGTCAGAAGATGCACAAATATTCATTCCTTTGGTGGGCTTTTTATTTGTAGCAGGTAATGTGAGATGCGTGTCTTGGCTCAAGGTTTCAAAACTCCATGAGCTAATGAATATTTAAAAAAACAAAATTGTTTATATATGTCTGTAATACACTGACCAAACTGAAGTGGTAGAAAATCAAAACTGTTATCTTGTTTAAACAAGTTGTCTCACTTACATTGATCGAGGCTTTTTAGTAAGAAGAGTTTAATTACAGAATAATATGTATTTATTTATTAAGTTATGTTTAAATCTTTACACAATATACTGTATATGAGTATACTGTATATAAAGTGTGTGTATTTGTTTCTAATCTGCTGTACAGCCAAACAAATCTGACAAATTCTGACAAAGGTATGGCGCATCCATTTGTGTTAAATTAACTAGACTGCTGATGTTTTGAGTTGGAGGCAGAGAGTGTTATATTATACAGTATCTATTTTTTTATTTTGAAATTTTGTCAAAGGCTATGGTTTTGTTGTTGCTGCCAACTCAATAAAGGTGAAAATAGTAGACATTCATATCTGTCTAGATGTTTTTATGAAATGTATGTGTTTCTGTAGCAGCAATCAAAACTAGCTAATGGGGATACAGGTACCAGCAGTGTGCTGGTATATGATTCCTGTGTTACGAGAGAAGAACAGTTGAACAATGCCCTCAGTGACGAGGCACATTTCCCAAACGGAGTTTTAAGTATTTTTGTTTCCCGTAGTCCAGCCAGTGCAGTAATGGCAAGCTAACCAGCTGTCACTCTTAGTATTAGGGATGGGGATCCATACCCGGTTCTAAATTTCATAAAACCCGAAAAGCAATAAGGTCCGAGCTTATTGATATTGCTATCGAGACTAGCAGGTCCTATAATGTAACGTTATGTCTCGAGCGTCATATCTGGTTTAACTTGAAACGTGATGGACATGAAAGCTAATGTTTTTTATTGATGGCACCAAAACGCGGTATTAAACGGGCCCCTGTCTCTGCTTGCTCTCTGTCGGCTCCTACACACACACACACGCGCGCACGTATGTGCAGCAGCAGCTGCAGCAGAGCGAGACGGCGCTCCGTCGCTGTGGAGACGGCGGAGTTTAGTTAGCTCCAAACTACTCGAGTTGCAGACAGCTATGCTCGTTACTATAAGTACGTACAATAAAACCTTCGCGAGTATGAATACAATAATTTATCAATACACCCATGTGTAGGGTAAACATGTTGAAAGAGTTAATATAATCATCTCTGTCCTCAATCTCTCATCCTGTATGTTTTATACAAGCACAGCTAATGTGAACTTGGCATTAGCCAAATGTTAAAAACAAGCTAAATAGAAAGCTGTCTGTCTATAGCATAGACTGGTCTGTAGTCCTAAAATATGGCACATTGTTTTAAACTCAGCTGCTGGCAGAGACAAACCAGCCTCTCTTCCTTCGACCAGGAAACGTTACCTGCAGGGAGTGCAGAACAGCAGGGAGGAGGAGGAGGAGGGAGAATACAGACTGAGTTTTTATTCTTTCTACGTCACTCACTATTGTGATGTCAGATATTGAATTTATATATAGTGACTTTGCTGTTGTAAACATTAATGTTGCTGCTCTAGAAACAACATTTAGCTTTATTTAAGCAATTAAAGTGTAATCATATAATTAAACAACCACGCAGATAATATGCATACTTCAATATTTGTTTATTTATCGCATGTGATATGTCACCTCAATATACAACAATGTTATCGCACATCAAATATTTTCCTCACACCGTGCAAGCCTACCTCACCTAATGATCCTATATCTGTCTAAAGTCATGCTCTGATGGTTGCTCCACCTCAGAAATGGTTCCATGGTTATAGGCAGGAACTGATATCCATCCCAGATTCCCATCCTAACCTTAACCACAGCCAATATTACAAGAAAATGCACTGCAGATGACAACGGCGGATACCTTGCAACAGTCTCACTCAGACTACAGGTGAGCTTCGAAAGAGCCATAACCTAACCATCTTCATCTAGGTTAGTGGAGAGACAAGCGAAAGAAGATGGAAGGGGGTATTAGAAAAGATTTAAAGTTTGAGCTGCAGATCCTGGAATGAAGTGTTTGGAGAGAGAAAAGAAAAGATGAAAAGAGAGCACGATAGGAGAAGTTGTGAAGTAGACTGCCTGAATGAGAAGAGCAAGATGATACAGAAAAGAAGGACTAGGAGGGAGGAAGGTAAAAAGGAAGGGGAAAGATGGAGGTAGGAGTCAAAACAGGTGTGCTGGGTTGGTGAATGAAAAGAGGGAAGGTGCAAGAAAGAAAATGTAAGGATGAAGAACAGTGATTAGGAGGATATAATTAGTTTCACTCTAATTTGTTTTCTGTTAAGATCTATTTCAGTAAAAATATTATTAAATTATTAGTTTAGAGGTTAGGGGTTTATCCCTCTGGTACATGGTATATGTGATGGTACAAGTCTAACCGCATTTGTGATTTATGTACTTTGTCCCTGGTAAATAAAACAATACATTTTAATATAACAAACAACATTGGTAATATAAAATATAAACGTCACTTTATTTCCACATCTTATATATGACGTTTTGTATTTTCACAGCTCTCAGTAGCTTTTTACACTACCACAAAGGTTGTGTATCTAAGTATGTCAGCACAAGATGACCATTCTGAAATGTAAGCACATTGCTATGAAAATTGCTTACATCAAATGCCCCTTGCATGGCATTAAGCTTGAGAACTATTTTAATATACATTGAGTATCAGGTGTGTTTTTATTTGAACTTGCCAGCAACCACGCTAAAGCTAAGGCAGTTTGGAACGAAAATCTGTATTTGTTCCTCCTATCAAAAAGCATTTCATCCACACTAACTATTCTGCCAAACCAAGAGCAGCTTCTAGGTCCAGGCCTGCTCAATATTCATGGCTGAAGCTATATCAGGAATTCCCTTTTATTTCCACAATTGGCAGCACTCGCCTCACTTCCTCTTTCCACTTCCATCCTGCCACTTTCCTCCACCTCTTTCCGTCCTGATTGAGAAAGGACCACCTGACCCTCTTTGAGGTGGGGAAGTCATAATTGGGGGGGGGAGCCAGTTCCTGTCTCTTTGTCCTAATGGTGGAGCCTTGCGGCGCCCACCAAAAACCTTTGATGTTATAAGGAGGACACACTCACACACCCTCATACATCTTGCATGGTCTCAGTCAGTCTTTGAAAACGTGTGACTGTGGCCCCATAGCTGACAGGTGTGGATCTAGGCATAGCTGAGCTGGGTGCTCTTACAGTATGTAATATGCAGTGTTAAACATTTATTTATCCATTAACAAGACTGAGGCTACAGCCGCTCTAGTAGTTCTGTAAGGCTGTGCTTTGTGCTAAATGTTTGCATGATTCATCATCTGGGGACCTTGAACGTCTGTACAAAATTTCACGGTAACCCATTTAATAGTTGTTAACCGACCAACTGACATCATGGCTAAAAAGTGAGTATGCTCACGCTGCTTCAATAGCACCACATGCTCACACATTCACCACAATAACCACAAGCTATTACAGGCTATGAAGGTAGTTGTTGTAAAAAGGTAACTATAGATATACAACGTCTGGTTACACTTTCAAAATAAAACTACTGGCTAACGTTGTGAAACGTCCCAAAAAAGCGAGTCAAAGATAAAAGCGAGTGTGTCAATTTTTATGAGAGAATGGAGACGTATGCTTCTGGGCACAAGATGAGAAAAAAATTAACCGTAATGCTGAGTTAAAGTGCAGCTGCAGTGAATCTCTCTAGTCTGTCGGCCTTGCTAACTCAGCTTAGCACCGAATCTCTTAGTCCGTCTGTGTCTTGGTTGCTTTTTAGAAGAAGAAGAAGAAACCTTTATTGTCACATACATGTTGTGAAATTCATTCTCTCCATTTAACCTATCCCTCAAGGGAGTAGTGGGCAGCCACTGTGCAGCGCCCGGGGACCAACTCCAGATGTATGTATCAGTGTCTAGTCAATGGCACTGACTGGAGTGCCTGCCTAAAATGTTTTTGATGGTGGGGGAAACCCACGCAGACACGGGGAGATCATGCAAACTCCACACAGAAAGGCCAGGGTTTGAACCTGCGACTTTCTTGCTGTGAGGCCACAGTGCTATCCACTGGACCACCGTGCCGCCCCCCCTAGCCTTTGTGTCTGAACAGGGAAATACAACTATTTATTATTTTTGAGAGACAGCGACGGGCAACTGTGTTTGTAACCAACTCCTGCTCAGAAAAGATAACTGCTTTATCTGTGAATATGCGTTCATACCTGCATGCATGAAATGAAACGTGTGCATTCCAGCAACAACTAGTCCATATAATACGCAGATGTGATGGCACTTCTCATAGGCACACATCATTTTAAAAGAAGATGGTGATTATCTGTCTCTCAGTGGACAACTCTGGACTAATGCAAGATGGAAAGCAGTGGATTCAAATTGACAATTGATTATTAAAAGTTTGATTAGTTGGACAGACTGGGCAATATGGTTGGACATCTCAGTAAATAATAAGCATCTCATATTCAGTCAAGTCATAGTATAACTATTATTTTACATTTAAAAATGTATTGAAGGAAATGTGGGGGAGCCATTTTGAATGGGCCTGATGCAGCTGATATATTAATTCAGATTTGTTAGTAGTAGTGGGTTTCCATTCCAGGACTGTTTTAAAGGAGGGAGGATTGCAGGATTTTTCCTGGCTCAGAATGGGCCTTTGGGGGGTGACTTTGCGTGACAGTAAGCATGATCGGTACGCGTACAGTAAAGACAATGAGTTAACTTGTGACCGAAATCTATGCATTTTCTTGTTGACCATTTGATAAAGAAATTATATCCACAACCTGGAGGAATAAAGGTAGAAATCAGTGTATTAATACATCTTATAAGATTAAATAGAAAGTATAATGTTAGTATAATAATATATTTACAGGTTACACTTTATTTGGATAATCTGCCTACAGATAGTTTATTAGTTGAGATTTTGAGATTTGTTTCACAAATAAAACCATTGGTCATCTGATATTAGCCTACACCACTGGTTAAGGTTTGATTAATGCTAATGTTTGTGTATTTATTATAATTTCAGATAATAGTATAGGCTACTATAGCTTACCATTAGTAGCCTAATATTAATTCCACTTGGACAAAACAGCAGTTTAATTTTTGTGGGTTATTTTCAGTTATTAAACTATTGTGCAGAAAGATGCTCTACATGGTGGTTAATCTCTCACTTGTCAATAATAAAAGTTGCATACATAACAAGTTCAACATTTCTAAAGTTTGCTGTAGCACCCATAGACTGCGCCTCACCCTTTTTTAAATGTCCCACCTCCTCCAGACTGTGAGTGGTCGGTTCACAAAAGTGACTTTGACGAGCAACTACGCACACGGCTGCATGCAAGGCTTCCGTTCTCCCTGCGGAGAAAGTGAGTGACAGTACCCACTTTCCGGCACACTTGAAGCACAAACGGCTTTGATACAGTGAGAAATAACAGGAAGTCATCTCTCTCATTAGCGCTTTATGTTCGGCTTGCTCAACAGTTGTTTGATAAATGGCTATTGAAATACATTCGGAGACAATTTTAAACACTTTTCCTTTGACGCTCCATAAAACCTTTTGGGGGGGCGCCAAAAATTTCTCTATGCAGGTAAAACCCTGGATTGTATTGAGAGCACTGCAGTGTCAGGTGTGACTGTGCAGCACTGGCAAATTGTTTACATGGCTCACGAGTCTGGTAGGATGGCTCCCCCCAAGAAGGACAGGAC